AGTTAGCAATAGACTGCACTGTTGATGTGCCACCTATACGCACTAGAAGAATTATATTCTGCGAAAAGCTGTATCTCTTAAAGGCAACGCTATTCGGTCGATCTTATATATGCTAAAAGTCGTTATAATATAACGATATTACGTATTATTATGTTATGATTATGTTATTATTATGTTATTATTATGTTATTATTATGTTATTATTATGTTATGATTATGAACAGATTATGTTAAAGTCGTTCGTTTATACTTATATAAAATTGTAAACGCCGGCCGGCAGTAGGTGCGCATCACAAATTCCGATCTCAAAATTTCACTTGTGAGACAACGTCTTGCCTTTTAGATGGTCGTATATTAATGTAAAAGATTTGCGGGAGCGGGAATCTCAGCGCGTTATCTCTCAAAAGCAACGCTATTCGGTCGATCTTATATATGCTTAAAGTCGTTATAATATAACGATATTACGTTTTATTATGTTATGATTATGTTATTATTATGTTATTATTATGTTATGATTATGTTATTATTATGTTATTATTATGTTATGATTATGTTATTATTATGTTATTATTATGTTATGATTATGAACAGATTATGTTAAAGTCGTTCGTTTATACTTATATAAAAATGTAGACGCCGGCCGGCAGTAGGTGCGCATCACAAATTCCGATCTTAATATTTCACTTGTGAGACAACGTCTTGCCTTTCAGATAGTCCTATATTAATGTAAAAGATTTGCAGGAGCGGGAATCTCAGCGCGTTATCTCTCAAAAGCAACGCTATTCGGTCGATTATGCTTAAAACGTGAGAAGCCGGGCAGCAGTGGGTTGGAATCTCACATCCTGATCACAATACCTCAATTCAATAATGCAGGTAACCAAAGAATATTGTTGTACAATAAAAATTACAAGTTAGAAATCACATCTCAAACCTTAATAATATTATTAAGTAAAGCAGCAGCCCCTGTCCTTCACCTAACCCCTCCCCCCCCACTAATGTACACGAAAAGGGGGCGCGCGCGTCGCTCGCCACGCCATCTCTCCAACGCAACGCAACGCTATTTCTCCTCAGTTATGCGCTCCAAAAGGAGAGGGTTCGTTCAGTCAGTAGTAAGTATGCATTGCAAAATCCCAATTCAAATTCAATATTGCGTCAACGCCACGTCATTTCCCCGGACTCTCCACGTTAATATTCAAGCCACACGGCGGCGCCCACTCAAGGTAGCAACAGGACGCGGTAGGGTTCGACCGAACAGAAGAAATCGAGCGAGAAAACGAGAGAAATCGTCGGCAACGAATT